TTGGACAACTTCCAACCGTGAAAACAATAAGCACTTCTTTAAGAATTAAAGAAACAAAAAGGTCTGAGGGCCTGGAGATGGCTCAGAGGTTAAGAGCACTTTCTGCTCTTGCAGAAGACCCAAGTTCAGTTCCCAGCATCCACACCAAGCATCTCACAGACACCTGTAACTCCAGCTCTAGGGGATCTGACATCTTCTGAACTCTGGCAGGGAAATTGATCCCTACAATTTGAGTCACAGTCCTTATGTGGAAGACAGAAGACAAAATTTGAGCAACATGTTCTTTGGTGCTTGCCTCACAGAGTTCTTGTCCCAGGACATGGATGAATTCTATCTTGGTGACATTGACTTGCAGTTAACTACAGCAAAAGAACCATTCATTTCTATCCACTTACATGTGCACATACCTACACACAAATACACATATACATACATCTAAAAACAAATAAATATTTTTACTAAAAGGAAGTCTGAGCATTTAATGTAGAAAATGTATTTCCAATAACAGGATATAATTGAAAATATACTCATGTATGTGTAAGCCAATGCCCTTACTAGCCTGTTTTAAGCTATCTTGGGGGAATTAACCACTAGTATGGAAATGCTGTAAACAGCTGATACTTTGAACCTGAATTTAGTTGTGTGGTGAAGGAGAGTTGAATATAAAAAGTAGATAGTAAGATCTCGTGGTAGTTTGTCAATACTGTACATGTTGACAGTTGAGCAATGTTGGGTTCTTAAAGGAAAAGCACGTTGACCTCTTTACCATTTAATTGTTTAAGGCCCATCAAAAATCTGTAATAACTTTTAAAAGAATTTAAACTTAAATAAACATGTCCCAAGATGCACTATGAAATCCGGGGAAAAAAAGTTAAATCAATAAATAAATGTAATGGCATTAGAGCAGACATTAGTCAGAATAACGAAGATTTCTTTAACCACCTGTCATGATTCCCCGGCAATCAAGGTAAGCACAATTACATATATTACTATACATACTAAAAACATAGACTAGGGCTTAATTCTGAATCAAGGAGAAAGAAATGCAAATGTATAGAGCTTGAATTATATTTTTGCTGTTAGATAAAATTGCTTATAACGTTGCAAATGTAAGGCCATCTATTGCTAAATTAATATGAATAGCCATTTCCAAAAATATTTTAATTCACTTTCACAATGAAAAGCTAAATTCTTCAGAAACATGTATCACAAGATTTTTAATTAAACAACATACCCTAAGATAAGAATTGTAAATATAAATCTAATTTATTAAAAGGACAAATCATAAAATCATACAATGGCATAATTGTAATTGTATTTTATGCTCTCAAGCATATGCTTGATGGTGTGGAAGGTATATGTGTGTGTGATCTGGTTAAGTAGAATGTGTTGCTTTAAGAAAAGTCATCAAAGACATTATCTAATCAATTCAGTACATATATTTAGGAGTTTCCTGTGTTGTGGTGCTATTATGATACCAAAAGCAGAAAGACCATTTAGACGCAAAGCCCGATTGAAATTCTTTGGTAAGTAGGCACACTCAGACTTAATGATCTACCAGATCCCATTAGATTCAAGATGTCTACATTTTCCCACTGACAGACACACAACCCCAAGAAGGTGATACTGGAAGTCACAGTCAACACTGTGCTACTATCACAGTTGGAACTTAGAGCATTATATCTACCAAGGCAAATCCATCAAAAGACACAGCTCTAAGAACTGTCTGTATCCAGAAACACCATGACCATCTATCAGAAACAGAGTCGTCACTTACTTTACATGATGCAATTCAGTTCTACTAGTGCTTTGCTCTCAATTTGTTTCTTCTAGTACTATCTGCATTTGCCCAACTTAAAAAGCTAAAAACATCTATTTGTTGCTCCTACTCTCAGCTTCTTCCTAAAATGCCCACATTTTCATAAGCTCACAGTACCAAATAAGTCATGTCACACAAGAATACGGAATAGAAATGTTCCTGCTGCAACTATCACTTGGAAAAACCAGCATTGCAAGATGAAATTAATTCCATTCTGATAAAACTGCTTAACCTGAAATGAATTCACATTAAGTTTTAACAGTTAATTGTGCAAATCAATAAGAAATTAGAAGGCTTCTCAACCAGTGTCAGAATTTCCATTTTCATTGTCCTTGTTATGTTTAAATACAAAATTAGGGTAGAAGATAGTATCGAGGAATTTACAGGTAAAATTTTAAGGCACAATTGCTTCAACCTGCTCCTGCCTAAAACCCATGGTGAATTGTTGGCAGTGGTGACAAGTATAGCATCAAAAGGGGCTGTGACAGCATGCCACTCCAGTCAGTCTGGAAAATGCTCATATGCTTGTAGCATCACATCCCTCATAGACACTTGAAGCAGTAAGGGATCTACAAACTATTTAATGTAAGTGATTCAGCATTCAGCTTAATCTATAGCCCCCAAATACTTTCAGCTGATACATCTACTATTTACATTAAAGAATTTTCACCTCAAAAAAGTGAATATATTCACCCCAAATGATGTCACATCCTATTTTATTTTCAGGTAGGGAGGCTGAATATGACACCCATCAGAGTCTTTAACTTCTCCACAGTATCTACCAAGTTAATGAGTTGTAGAGAGAGGTCAAAGTGTGCATTGGGATGGGCTTCGAGAAAGAAGCACAAAATCCTGATTCCCACATCCTCCCTGCTAGTATTCTACTCTCCCTTATGGAAGACTAACAGAAACAGAAAAGCAGAGGTAGATTTTATTTCTAGTATGAAGGTTCATTAGCTAACTGGGTGACTTAGAATCTTAACATGACCTGCACTCTAATCCATTAACCAAGTTTTCATCAAAGACTTGTTTTCCCACACTCCTGGAGAGTGAGAGTCTATATACCTGGGAGAACATCCAGTTCCACTCTAGACTTTCTGTTTCAGAACTAAGGTACACTGGCAACACCCTGTAATTCCTTAGAAAAGGATTCCTTTTCTTTTCCTGTAAATTGGTCTGACACAAAGTGCCCCATAAGCAAGTAGTTTACACCCTGGAATAGGATGTCCAACAAAGAAAATAATTTAAAGTATATGTTTTAACATGCAAGAGCAGCCAGCAATTCTCAATTCTCAAAAAAAAAAAAAAAAAAATCCCAACGGAGTTGAAAGTAATCAGGGGCATAAAAGGGGGCTGATTTATTTATCCTGGTTTATGGCAAACAATAAAGGAAAACTATGTGTTTCTTAAACCTTCAAAACCTGCGTTAGGCTGTGGGCATTCTCCAGATCCATCTGTCTCTGAAGTCAACGGAAAAGGGTTTCAGTATTAAGATTCTAAAGCCGCAGCAGACGAAGACTTTGCAGAGATCAGGAAAGAACAGATTCGTAACACAGTTGCAAAAGTCAATGAGGAAGCGGAAAGAACATGTGTGACAGAGAGAGAAAGACCCCTGGAGGTGGCAAGTCCAAAGAGAAGGCCAGTAGTGTGACCTTACTTTTCAATATTCTCAGACCAGCAGGTTTTTAACACTAGAGGGCATGAACATAAACACATAAAGGCGTGTGTGTGTGTGTGTGTGTGTGTGAGAGAGAGAGAGAGAGAGAGAGAGAGAGAGAGAGAGAGAGAGAGAGAGAGAGAGAGAGAGAGACTGACAGACAGACAGACAGACAGAGATTTTGAGCAACAGATTTCGCCAAAAGCTGGGGATGACAAGGAAACCAGAAACGTCATAGGAGTGGTCAAGTACCCTTAATCCTGCAAATAAATCAGGCTTTTCTCAAGGGGACACTGCTCTCCAAAAGGCTGAATGTGAAAGGGAGGGACGAGGCAGAGCCCCTTTCACCTGCTAGCATAGCCTTTACATGAGAGCGTCCACCCTTTTGACATTTGCCTTGCCTTAATCCCAAAGATTCTATGTTTGCCCATCTACTGACTCTTCTCCCCTAGCTATCATATAAGCCGGAAATGAAGACTCTGCACCTGGAAATTCAACTAACCACAGTTAAGGCACAGGGCAGGTGAGGGACTTCCACACTCACACAGCTTTGGCTGGGCTGACCAGAAGCCTCAGCGAACTGGGTTCCTGTAGCGCAGCGCCCTTGGACCACGGGTGGGGAGGCTGGAGCGACACCCTCCCTTCTGAGCCCTGAGCCCCTCATTCAGCTCCAAGGCAGCTCAGATGCAGGAAGGCTGCTTCACTCCCGCCTTCCCAGGGGCGCAGAGTAAGGGGGTCTGTGCATCTAGGGGGTTCCCAGAAGAGGAGCACCTACGAATCAGGGGACTGGGAGTTGGGAAAGAGGCAGGCAAAAGGAGGAGAAACAGAAAGGGGGAAACGCTGCAAGAGAGACAAACGAAACAAACAGTATAGTAGAGACACAGTGACAGCTCAAAGAAAGACCGAAGCACACAGAATGAAAGAGAAGCAGACACACAAGGATGGACGCACGGGGATCAAAAGCCAGAAAGAAAATCAGACCTACAAAATGAGTGAGAGACATACACCGGGAGAACAGAGGCTGTGGCGGCTGGGGCACTGACAGAAAGAGCGAGCTGTCGAGGAAGACATCCAAGAACCAGAGCGAGCGTGCCTGGTGTCATGAGTAGTAGTAGCACCGGCAGCATAGCACCCAGGGGTGTCCGCAGCTGGGAAAGAAAGTTGCCTAGGAAGAGCCTCTAAGGCAACGGAGAGCGCCCCCAGGGCGTGGATGGGGACCAGCACACGCCAGCTCAGAGGGTAGTAGTAGGAAAAGCCTAGCGGAGGGCTGCTGGCTGCAGAAAGTTCCGCGCCTCCCCATCCTACCGCCGCACCTGCAAGCCGCGGGCGTGCGTGCTCGGAGGTCCCGGGAGAGCGACTCTCCAGGTCCACGCGCGCCCCCTGCCCCTGCCCGGCCGGGCTTCTGCGCGCTGACACTCACGGCGGGACTTTGCGGCGCCCAGCCGGACTCTCCTGCAGTCTGAAAAGGGGCCCCCGTCCCAAACCGTCACCGGGAGGAGGAGAGCGAGAGAAAGAGACTGAGACCTGGTCTGGGTGGCTAACGATCCCGCGGTGACAGCTCGGCGGTCCGCGCTCAGGATGCTGCCACGATCCAGCCTCGCCTGCCCGCGGCCAGATGCGCCGAGAGCCGCGCTCACCTGGAGCCCGCGCCGCTCGCAGCCCCGGCTCCCGCCCGCGCCTCTCTTCACACTTCTCGGAGAGCAGAGCAAGGCGGCCCCGGCCTCGGCCAGCCCCGGAGACGCTCGCACATAGCGCGGCGACCGGCCGCGAGGCTCGGCGAGCGCGGCCAGGGGGCGCCCAGGCCGAGGAGGCGCAGGAGACGGAGCGGGGCTCCTAGCACATTGTCACCTCGGCAGAGCCGCCGCCGCCGCCGCCTGGTCACTTGGTCCCCGCCCCCTCTGCCGGGCCCTCCCCCTCCCGCAGCCTCAGCCCGGAGGCCTGTCACTGGGCTAGGATCATTTACGTAACCAGCACCCCGGCCCTCCTCCCGCCCGGCTCCCGCTCCTCCCCGGGCTGGGGAGCTGAGCACCGAGCGCGCTCCAGCTGCTCCCGGAGCCGCGGCTCCTGCGAGGCGCACAAGTCCCGCGATACTTGCTAGGCACGGCCCCCAAGAGCAACTGTGGGGTCCGCTCCTAGCCCGGAGAGTGCGTGCAGATCCCCGCTAGCTCCGACTCCCCCACCTCTCTCCCCCCAGCTCCACGCGCAAAGCCCAGCTGCGGTGCCCCGTGCTCGCCCCTGAGCCAGCCAGCCTCGGAAAGGGGTACCGGGGGCCTGGGGTCTGCCCTCGGGGAAAGTTCCAGAAACCGCACCCTGGTGGTCAGCTCTCTGGTAGAGATTGCTGCTAGGAACTTAGGGCTTAGGCTCTAAAGCAGAAAAGATGGACACACTTTAGCCTCCTGTCCTTTAAGGTTTAGACTCCCTAACAGGATCCTAGGGTTCACTGCCCCCAAGCGCTCTGTAAAAGAACCCATCACAGAGTGCGTGCTCTGCTGTAATCTTTGGGGGGCGCCGGGGGGGGGGGGAGAGTGTAAGGAAAAAGTGGGGCTTTGAATTTCTTTCTTCAGGGAAGGTGTAGTCGACCGCCCACACGCACGCTCACACACATTCTCACCCACAACTCTAAGTATCAGAAGGCTTGTATAGCTAAATTAATGTGTAGCGTAATGTAATAGAAGATCCGCTGTTCTAAACGGTGTTAAAATATATGTAGCGTTTTAGAACAGCGCCTGGCACAAGGCACAGATCAAATATTCGAGTACCAGAATTTGGAAGATTCCCTGGGAACCTACTCCTTGCTGCCCACAGGGGTAATTGAGGAAAACTGGGGTTGCTGGTTTTTAAGGATCTGCTTAGGTATTTAGTCACTGCTTTGGACATTGATTTTGTTCAGTCTCTGGGTTATTTATTTATTTATAAAAAGAGGTGACAAAGACAATTTCTTCTTATAGTATTCTTGTGTGGCATGTCTTATTTGGCACATTCGGGAAGGATGTGACAGCTCTTCAAAGTATTAAGAGCTATATTGTGCAAACATGTGATACTATTAATTATGATGTAGTGTGTCGATGATGTTCTTGATTATGCTCAGGAGCAGCAATTTCTAGGGATGTAGTTTTGAATCTTTTTATGAATTCATTATAAATCTAAATTAGTACAATAACAACATTAAATGTTTCTTCCACATTGTCATATCATGTCACTATAAATATGGAACATCAGTCTGCAATACCAGCTACCAGAGAAGCTGAGGCAGGAGGATGATTTGAACCCAGTTCTTCAAGACCAGCCAAGACAACATAGCAATACCTGTCTCAAAAGAAAAAATACCAATAATTATGAAACATTCAGCAAAGGCACTTTAGTATGTGTGATAGGACATAAGGTCCCACTGCTAACGCCAGGGAGTCTCAAGAATTTGTCTCTATTATTCTCACTTTTGACTTCCAAATGCTGACATCAGGCCGTTTACCTCTGTGACATATTGAGAAATGCCATGGACCAACACATAAAAGATTACTGTTCAAATACTGGCACAATAACTTACCAGTCATGTGTGTCCTTGAGAGACGTATAGCCCCCACCCTTACATTTGTCATGGCTATAAAAAGAAGCAATACCATTTCACAATCTCTGTAATAATACTTAACTTGAGCAAGATTCATAAATCTAGTTGGCAAAAGTTATATATGTAACTGGTATTTATGTAGTCCTAACATGTCTTCTAGAAATTATTAGTTTTTGCTGCATAACACATCATCTGAAGAGTTAGCAGCCTAAAACAATAAACATTTGCAATATCTCCAAGTTCTCTGGGTTGTCAAGGAGGGTTTCTTCCTGGGCAGCCTCAGTTTGAATAGTCTGTATCTTGATGGGAAGAACTACAAAGTAATATCACAAAGGAGAATGAGAAGCCTTTAAGGCTATGTGTGTAACCGAACATGGATTCTTAATGCAAGGAGATAAAAAGTTACTTGTAGTGGATAAATCTGGACATCACATTTCACCAAGTGATCCAAAGTGGTACCCAAGCTTCATGACCTGATACATGAAGAAGCATATTAACATAACTTATTTAAAGTTCCAGACATGAAAGGCCTAACTGTGTGGGATCATGACAAATCCAAAACTTTGAAAATTGCCACTGTGATGAAAGCCACTGCAAAGCTAAGGAAATATTCCATACTAAAGAAGAATAAAATAGAAGACGGCTAAGTTCGTTGTACAAGGCAAAATGAAGGGCTGGAGAGATGGCTCAGTGGTTAAATGAATGTCTTCCAGAGGACCTGGGTTCTGTTCCTCATGTTTGAATTAGGTGCCTCACAGCCTAACTGCAGCTCCAGAGCACCTGAAGTTTCTGGCTTTCTAGACCATCTGCACATATGCACACAGACACACGCATACACATAAATTAAAATAGCTTTTTAAAAACCTTTTTAAAGTAAATATATAGTGAAATATTTGGAGGCAAAAATGGCATACATGTTGTAATCCTTTTGCAGACGGTTCAGAAATATCTATAGAGGGAAGGATGACATAAACTAAGAACCTCTTACTGCTGATAAATTCACATGATGAATGTAAATGCTTTGAGGCAATTTGTAAAATTCCTTTAAGGTTATTTAAATGAAATTTAAGGTTACTTAAATGAAAATGGATGATGAAATCATTGCTTATCTCACAAGCAGATTGAACTAAAAGTTTAAGGAAATAATGTTTGAAAGTAGTAAAAACTCAGTAAAAAGCTTTTTAAAGTGTAAATATAGAAATTATCTTAAATGAAAGAGGAGCTATTGCAGAAATTTGTTTAAATAATGGGAATGGTCAGTATTTTACAATTAATTGATGATAAGGCATGGTCACTAAGTTGGGAAATATTGCACAACCAATGGTAGAGGTTTAGCATGGACAGTAGTAGCACATTCTGTGAGTAACCAAGGCTTATTAAAATGGGAAGTAAAGAGTGAGTTAGTGTGTTGCTGAAATTAAGTTTCCAAGTATTGGAAAACAAGTAGGAATAAAGCAGAAAAAAGGTTGTAACACTTTTAAAATGCAAGAATTGTGAGAATTGAAATATCATCATCAAAAGAAACAGAACTCTACGTTATAAAATGGACATCTAATGATTCTCAATTATAAAATTTCAGTAATTTCTCAGGAGTATTCCTAAGTAACAATATAAAATTACTGCAATACTCTTGCATTAGTTAATTTTCTATTGCTGTGATAAAATGTCATGTCCCAGGCAACTTGTAAAAGGAAGGGTGTATTGGGGACTTACTGTTCTGGAGGGCTGAAGTCCATCACCATCACAACAGGGAAGTGTGGCAGTAGGCAGACAAGGCAACTGGACCTGGAAGCTGAGAGCTGAGTTCTTACATCCCCACACAACAAAACAGAAAGCAGAGAGAACACTGGAAATGATGCATGGCTTTGGAAACCTCAAAGTCTATTCCCAGTGGCGTTCTTCCTACAGCAGAGTCATATCTAGTAAACCTGTCAAAACAGTGTCACCAGTGAGGGACCAGGTATTCAGATGCCTGAGACTATGTGGGACTATCTCATTTAAATCACAACTCTATTTGAAATTTTATAACCTGGGGCCTTTTTTTATTCTATAATACTTACTGTGGTGGTTGGAATAGGAAAGCCCTCCCCACCCCTTTGTACTCAAAATTATTGCTACATGGTCCCCAGTTGGTGGAACTGTTTGGGAAAGATTAGAAGCTGTAGCATTGTCAGAAGAGGTGTGCCACTGGAATGCAAGCTTTGAATTTTCAAAATCCCAATGCCTTTCTCAGTTCTCTCTGCCTTGTGTTTGTGGATCAAGATGTATGTTCTCAGCAACTGCTCCAGTGAAATGTCTGACTGCCTGCTGACATGCTCCATGCCATGATGGTCATAGACTCTGACCCTCTGAAACTGTAAAATACAAATAAACATTTTCTTCTAAAGTTGCCTTGATTGTGGTGTCTTAATCACAACAATAGAAATTTTATTAAAACATCTACTATGAGCTCAACACTGGGTAAGTGTGGAAGATTAAAAAGGAAATAGAGATAATCTTGATGGAACAATGATTGTACACAGATTTTTTACAACATGGCAACTACTTTTCAGACAATTGGAATATTAGAATAATTACAAAGATGTCATATATTCATAAATGTTACAGCTTGAAAAAGTGTCGTAAACAAATGAGCAACTGTGGGTTTATATCAAGTGGTAGTAGATTCTTGGAGAATTGTGAAATGGGTGAAGAGATGAGCTTTCCAGCCAATGTGTTGTGAGTGGTTTCCAGACATGTCACGAAATACTAATCATCTCATGTGTTAGAAGCGGCCATATAGTATGCTCTAAAGTTTTCAGAGTCTTTGATAGGTAGCCATTGGTTTTTAAGAAACTTACCAAGGGTCAAGGAAAATTATTTGAGCATGCAACTGAAAATGCAGCCCATTGTGTGTGGAGGAGCAAGAATATTGGTCTAAGACTTTTAGTAGATATGCCTCCAGGTGAAAATCCACAGCTCTTCCAACATAAACATCAGATAACTTCATTCTGTGTGTCATTAGTTTATTGTTATTGTGACAGCCATATCACCTGCAGACTGGATGTTCTAACAGATGAGCATCTTCAAATAAAACTTTATTCATACCTGACAAAAATTGGTATCTTTTGCAATTCCATAAATATTTACTTCTGTACTAATATCCTAGAGTTTGTTCAATTTCATCTCATGTTGTATAAAGCACTGTATCCCTTGCATAGTGGCAAATTTATATTTCTTCATAATCATGTGATTGGTGTCTATTTTTTCTACTATATACTGTAATTCATGAAACTGAATGATTTTGTTTGAGAAAGTGGTTGTGGTTTCACAAAATGCACTGTCTTTG